TCACTTACCAGCGCCCCATGGGCAACTGTCACCAGCCTGCAGCTCCTTGTCCGCCCCGCGGGCAACTTTCCCCTTCTTCCGGCGCTAGACCGTGCGTGATGCTTGACTCATGTGGCTGAAGCCTGTTGGCGTGTTTCGGGCGCGGCCCCAGCTGTCTAACAGTTTGGACAAGTCTGAGCTGCGAGCTGCAATTGCTGCGAGAGAAGCACCGCAAGTCGGCCCTGCCTTTGTGAGTAATAATGCGCAACATGTGACATTCCCAAGGTGTTTTCATATTCTTTTTTTCGTGTCTTACAGTGAAAGAGTCGCGCCACGTTCAGGTGAAACCAGACTATTGAAACAACCCTCAACGACAGGTGTGTTTGCGGCGCTTTGCTTGGCTGCAACGGTTCGAGGGTTGGCTTGCCCGCAGAGCTGGTTTCCAACTACCTGGCGCCAAGCCAAGGGCTTGTTACTGAAGTGGACCTTGCTTCCTACTGTTGCTTTTTTTGACCCTTGTCAATAGCCTGCAAGGCTTTGCGAGAAAAAAAGTTCCATCGCAGCTAGTGCGACGAATCTGTTGTGTGATTGCTGCTAGTCCGACGTGGCTGTTGCGTGACGCATGTTGCTGCTTGAGCGACTAACGTTTTCAGAAGCTGCTGTGTGACACATGTTGCTGCTGATGCGACGAATGTTTTTGAAAGCTGCTGCGCGAGAAATGTTGCTGCTTCTGCGGCGAACGTCATCAAGAGCTGCCGCGTGAAACATGTTGCTGCAAGCACGATGAACATTATTGGTGGCTGCTATGTGAAACATGCTGCTGCTTGTGCAACGAACATTTTCAGGTGCTCCCTTGGCTTCACTCGGCCTCCCTTAAAACTGCCAAACTGCGCTTGCGAAATGCCTCGCGACGCTGTGCAGCGCGCGGTCAACTGATGCGGGGTGATCAATCTGCTTGTGCTGTCTGGCGTCCCTTAGCTTCACTCGGCTTCCCTTACAACTGCCAAACTGCTCTTGCAACATGCATGGCGACACTGCTGGCAGCTTGTGGAAGCGGGTGGAACACTGTTGGAGAATGGATGCATAATAATGTATGGAAGGGATGGTACTAGTGGAAAGTGGATGGAAGATGAATGGGCAATTGTGGATGATTGATGGCAACAAAAAAACAAAGTACACTACAGGAGGGGGCTCAAGTAACAGGAAAGGCAAGGACGTGCAGGGACTGGAAGTGCAGGAGCGGGCCTGACGGGCTGGCCCCCGCCCTCCTTCCACTTCTTTTTCGACTTGGAAGCACCCTGCGGGCAACTTTCCGGTAGATGACGAGTAGCGACTGAAGGGCAGTGAAACAGAGGACAGACTTCAAATGCAGGAAAATGAAGTGACAGGTCGGGAAACCTCCAACGGAAGCAACTGCGGCCTTTTCGGCTCTGACACCATGCGCACTCCCTGGCTGGCGCGACCATCGCCTTTTCTCCACGGCTGAAGCGGTATATGACTGAGAAGCGCCCTGTGGGCAACTTGCCGCCTCCTCCCGTTCGAGCGCGTTTGCAGTCGCGACTCCTGCTTCTTCTCCATGGTTGCAGAGGCACATGACTGAGAAGCGCCCTGGGGGCAACTTCCGCCCTGTTTCCGTTCTAGCGCGTGCATGCTGCTTCAACCTGCGCATGTGGGTTTAGCGTGTTGGCGCGCTTCTGTGGTTTTAGCTGTCGAGCAGTTTGCACAAGGCTTCGCGCTGGGGTGCTTACAGGGGGGAGGAATGCGACTACACGGCGCTCAAGAAAGTGCAGGGAGCTCAAACGCACAGGAAGCAAAAGGAAATGCCAAAGTTGCAAAAAAAACGCGCAAAGGAAGTGATGTTCAAATCTCGGCATCTCATCCGAATCAAAGGACAGGGAAGTGACAGAACAGGCAGGGCAGGGTGCCCGGTGGCCGGCTGTGTCGCGTCAGCGTGTAAATCCGGCCACCGGACGTGATCGGGCCGCAGGCCAAAGCCCGTTAGGGCTTACCTTCAGGTATAAGGCCGCGCGCCCCATGCCGCCGACCATGCGCAGAACATGCGCAGAACATGCGCATACGTTTTATGCTGGGCCCTCCCTTATAAGGGGCGAAGGATTTGCGGATTGGTTTAGGCGATTTCCGAGGATTTTTGTAGCATCTCCTCGCAGCGCCCAAAACCGAGTCCAAAAACGAGCATTTTTAGGGGGTGCCTAATACTGGACAACACTCCCAGCATTACCAGCATCATCCCGGATGATGCGGATGATGTTATGCATGCTGGCGATGCGGGTGATGCTGGGGATGTTGTCCCTAAGTCGGGCCAATTTTGCCGAAAACGTGCAACCTGAAAATCTTAAAATCCAAAGTGGATGGAAAATGGATGGAACATGGCCTGGATTGAAATCTCAAAATCCTAAAGTCTTAGATTCTTAAAATCTTAAATTAAAATCTAACAATCAATCTTAGAATCTCAAGATCTTAAAATCTTAGAACTTAGAATCTTAAAATCTGAAAATATAAAAACATCCTAAAGTCTTCGAATCTTGAAATCTTAAAAACCTTATGTCTTAGAATCTTGAGATCTTAAACTCTTAAAATATGAAATTCCTAAAGTCTTACACTCTTAAAATCTCGGAATCTTAAAAAGCTTTAAAACTTAAATTATTTAAACCTCGAACAATTGAAATCTGAAAATCTTAAATTATTAAAATATTACCTTCCTTCAATCCGGGCTATATTTTAAATTCCTTAAACTCTTAATCTTGAATTGTTGAAATCTTGAAACCTTAAGATCTTAAGATTACAACCTTAGAAGTTAGAATCTTACAACCTGAAAATATAAGCATCCTAAAGTCGTCGAATCTTGACTTCTTAAAACCCTCATGTCTTTGAATCTTCAGATGTTACAATCTTAAAATATGAAATTCCTAAATTCTCAAAATCTTAAAATCTCAGAATCTTAAAAGTTTCAAAAACTTAAATTCTTTCAATATCGAACTATTGCAATCTGAAAATCTTAAATTCATAAACAAGTAAAATATAATGAAATTCCTTCAATCCGGGCTATATTTTAAATTCATTAAACTCTTAATCTTGAAATTTTGAAGTCTTGACATCTTAAGATCTTAAAATCTTAAATTACGAAAGTCGCCAAATCTGAAAATCTCACAAAAATGAAATCTTAAAGCCTTCGAAATCTGATACTGGATGGAAAATGGCTGGGCAATGGCCTGGCTGTTATAACCTTCAAAAACCTTAAATCTTTGAATCTTAAAACCTTAATTCTTAAACCATTGAAACCTTAAATTCCGAAAGTCTTCAAATCTGAGACCCTTAGAATGTCAAAGTTTTTAGAATTTTAAAATCTTAACATCTACTAATCGGACTTACAGGAAAGGGAAGTGACAGAACGGGCAGGGCAAGGTGCCCGGTGGCCGGCTGTGTCGCGTCAGCCTGTAAATCCGGCCACCGGACGTGATCGGGCCGCAGGCCAAAGCCCGTTAGGGCTTACCTTCAGGTATAAGGCCGCGCGCCCCATGCCGCCGACCATGCGGGTACGTTGCGGGTACGTTTTGGGCTGGGCCTTCCTTATAAGGGGCGAAGGATTCGCGGATTGGTTTAGGCGATTTTTGTAGCATCTCCCTGCAGCGCCCAAAAACGCGCATTTTTAGGGGGTGCCTAATACTGGACAACACCCCCAGCATTGCCAGCATCATCCCGGATGATGCGGATGATGTTATGCATGCTGGCGATGCGGTGGATGCTGGGGATGGTGTCCCCTAAGTCGGGCCAATTTTGCCGAAAACGTGCAACCTGAAAATCTTAAAATCTAAAGTGGATGGAAATTGATGGAAAATGGCCTGGATTGAAATCTCAAAATCCTAAAGTCTTAGATTCTTAAAATCTTAAATTAAAATCTAACAATCAATCTTAGAATCTCAAGATCTTACAATCTTAGAACTTAGAATCTTAAAATCTAAAAATATAAAAACTTCCTAAAGTCTTCCAATCTTGAAATCTTAAAAACCTTCTGTCTTAGAATCTTGAGATCTTAAACTCTTAAAATATGAAATCTTAGAACCTTAATTCTTAAACCATTGAAACCTAAATTCCGAAAGTCTTCAAATCTGAGACCCTTAGAATCTCAAAGTTTTTAGAATTTTAAAATCTTAACATCTACTCATCGGACTTACAGGAAAGGGAAGTGACAGAAACCCTCATGTCTTTGAGTCTTCAGATGTTACAATCTTAAAATATGAAATTCCTAAATTCTCAAAATCTTAAAATCTCAGAATCTTAAAAGCTTCAAAAACTTAAATTCTTTAAATCTCGAACTATTGCAGTCTGAAAATCTTAAATTCATAAACAAGTAAAATATAATAAATTCCTTCAATACGGGCAATATTCTAAATTCCTTAACCTCTTAATCTTCAAATTTTGAAGTCTTGACATCTTAAGATCTTAAAATCTTAAATTCCGAAAGTCACCAAATCTGAAAATCTCACAAAAAATACAATCTTAAAGCCTTGGATGGAAAATGGCTGGGCAATGGCCTGGCTGTTGTAACCTTCAAAAGCCTTAAATCTTTGAATCTTAAAACCTTAATTCTTCAACCATTGAAACCTTAAATTCCGAAAGTCTTCAAATCTGAGACCCTTAGAATCTCAAAGTTTTTAGAATTTTAAGATCTTAACATCTACTCATCGGACTTACAGGAAAGGGAAGTGACAGAACGGGCAGGGCAAGGTGCCCGGTGGCCGGCTGTGTCGCGTCAGCGTGTAAATTTGCCATATGGGCAGTTGGCTCAGCCTGTGCACAGGGAAGCAAACTGTCTAGACAGGCACGCTATCGTTCACGCAGTGTCTGGCAACATTGGTAAAAATCGCCACTGTACAACTGATACCAACTGCCATATGGGCCAAGATATATCAAGTGAGGGCCTCCCAAACCAGCTTCTCACGAAATCGTTGCCCTGGGACGCGCTGGTAGCCTCACTTGCTTGACCGTTCCGAGGCCGTGGCCCAAGCCCATGATGAGCACCATCGCCTGGAGCGATCGACAGGTTTCGTCCGCTGCCAAGGGAAGGAGAACCCAAAAACCCCACGGGACAGAGGTCCTTGCCAAACGGCAAGTGGAGCTTCTTGGCTTTGGTAGGGAAGAAGGAAGTAATGGGGAACATAAGGAAATAATATATATATATATATATGGGATTGTATTTTTTTAGGGTGGCCGGGCAGGAAGGTTTGAGTACGGGGTATGATTCGCAGGTATGATTCGCGGGTATGATTCGGGGTATGATTCGGGGGTATGATTCGCGGAAGCAGCAGCAGCAGCAGCAGCAGTAGTAGTAGTAGTAGTAGTAGCAGTTCGCAGAAGTAGTTGTACTAGTAGTAATATTGTAGTAGTAACATCAGTAGTAGTAGTAGTAGTAGTAGTAGTACTAGTAGTAGTAGTAGTAGTAGTAACAATAGTCGTAGTAGTAGTAGTAGTAGTAACAGTAGAAGCAGCGACTGTAGTGGCGCGGAAGCTTTGAAAAGACTTGGCGCTGGCCTTGGCAAGGCCAGTTCATTGCGCGGGTATGATTCGGGTATGATTCACGGGTATGATTCGGCTAGGTGCAAAACGGCACTGATTACAAACTCGTAGAAGCTGTGGTAGTAGTAGTAGTAGTAGCAGTAGTAGTGGTAGTCGTAGTAGAAGTTGCAGAAGTAGTGGTAGCAGCTGTAGCATAAGCAGAAGCGGCTGTAGTGGTGCGGACGCTGTGAAAAAGACTTAGCACTAGCCTTGGCAGGGGAAGCTCATTGTCCGGGCATGATTCGGGTATGATTCGCGGGTATGATTCGGCTAGGTTCAAAACGGCACTGATTATACACTCAGAATGATGTATGTGGCAGTAGTGAGTAGTAGCAGCAGCAGCAGCAGAAGCAGGAATAGTAGTAGTAGTAGTAGTAGCAGCAGTAGGAGTAGTAGTAGTAGTAGTAGTAGTAGTTGTAGCAGTAATAAAGGTAGTAGTCGTAGTAGTAGTAGTAGTAGTAGTAGTAGTAGTAGTAGTAGTAGTAGTAGTCAAGGTTGTAGTCGTAGTAGTAGTTGTAGCAGTAATAAAGGTAGTAGTCGTAGTAGTAGTAGTAGTAGTAGTCAAGGTTGTAGTCGCAGTAGTTAGTAGTAAGGGTAACAGAAGCAGAAGTAGAAGCAGTAGAGTAGTAGTAGCAGCGGCAGTAGCGGTGGTAGTGGTAGTAATACTCGTAGTCGCGGTAGTAGCAGTAGTAGTAGTAGTAGTGGTAGTAGCAGTAGTAGTACTAATTGAAGTAGTAATTGAAGTAGTAGTAGTAGTAGTAGTAGTAGTAGCAGTGGCAGTGGCAGTGGTAGTATTGGGTAGCACTGGTGGTGGTTGTGGAGACAGTGAACAACACAAAACGGTAGAAGAACAGTAGCATCTTGCAGCATACGTTTTAAGGGGTATGATTCGGGGGTATGATTCGGGGTATGATTCGGGGGTATGATTCGGGGGTATGATTCGGGGAGGTCCCACCTTCTGCCTTTTGAAGCAACTCAACACACCAAAAAAAGACAAACCCATATGTATATATATATATATATATATATTTGGGGGGGTTCAGAAGGAACTGCTATTTTTTGGGGGGATCAGAGGGAAATCCCTTTTCTTTTTTCTTGATTTTTTTTTGGGGGGGGCGGGGAATCGGGGCGGGGAATCAGCTTTCTTGGAGCCATGTCCAACGTTGCGCTCGCAAAAACCGGGCCGAGGAGCCGCTGCCAAGAGGCCCAGGAAGCCGCTCTCAATGAGCGTGTCCCTGCGGAGACGAGCTTTTTTTCGGGAACCCGTGGGGGGTCAGCGAAGCTTCGGGATAGGAACCTCAGACAAAAAAAAAATATCCCAAAGACCTCGAATAGGGTCTTGGGACCCTGGGGTGGTGAAACCAAAGAAAACTTTTTGGAGACACATCACAGGTCCATGGGCCACATGGGCCACATGCATCCCGCCTCTGCCGCTTCTGAGCGTCGATCTGCTCTCGCTGCACCTGAAGGCTTTGGGACGCGTTCCGTCAAGCTGGCGCCGCGTCGAAAAATATTTGCTGCTTCGCACATCAAGAGCCAGCCTGCGCTTCCACCTCCATGGCCTGTGCCCGCCCATCACATCGCAATATGGAAGAAAAAGAAGCACGGGGAGACGAGGCAACCAAATTTCGCATGCTTACGTGTCAAATGCTTGTCATGTCTGTGGGTCGCCGCGCTAGACTCTTGGCAAGTTCAATTTCATGAGGCCGCGTGCCTGGTCCACGTAAAACTTGCTGAAGGCCTCTGAACAGCCGAATCCACATAAAATCCGTCCACTTGCCACATGCTTCACAAGCAAGATTCGTCTGGACTCATTTCAACCCATCATCTCCAAATCATGCCTGGTTACATCTGAGGGTTTCTCAAAATCGGGGACCCCTTTCTTGACGGCTTCGAAGAGAAACCAAAAGGACAACCACCTACTTAGAGTCTTAAAGGATCCCCGAGTTCTGAGAAACACCCAAAATTAAGCCCATGCAACTCGACCCCCATCGTCCATATGTCTGTGGCTCAAAAAACCGGTACCAAAATGGAACCCTGGAAAGTGGAAACATGGACCCAAACCTGCATAACCCCTCCTGTTTAAATTTGAGCCACACCCATATCAAAACGCCCCGCATCGTCCAGCTCACGAAAAGCCGAGCGCCGCACCGCCGCAGGCAGAGAGGCGACCACCAGCCTGCGTGCAATGGCCAGCCAGGGGGGCCGTGAGGGATTGCCAGGCTTCATGTGGACCCCACATGTATCAACCAGGCTGTGGGTCAAAACCGTTTTGGGATCCCATTTTGGTAGGCGAATTCACCACCCATTTCAGGCTTCCTATTTTAGCGGTTGGATTGAATCGGATGTTTGGGGGCGAATTAACCGATTTTTGACCACGGCCACCAGTCCATAGGGGCCCGGGGGCTTCTCGGGCTAGCGCTTGGAATCCGACCCTGGAGGGGATTTCCCCCACATTCAGACTGACTGGATCGCCAGTTGCTGCTTTCTACGCACTTTACCCCAAGCAGTGACTAAAAAAGGCAGCAACTTGGCTATCCAGGTGTGGGTTGATTCATATGGGATCAACATTGCCGAGCTCCACAAGTGCCGTGCGACATGCTGAAAATATCACTTTCAGCTGAGTGTCCACTGCAAGGAGTCGTCCAGGAAAATGGTGTGCGTCGTGGCCTGACATCCCGGAACTCTGTAACCATGTATCACTTCAGTAGTCAAAGGAAACACTGAAAACCTGAGACAACCATTTACAAACGGTGGTTTCTCAAACTTTCATGGTTCATCAAGTGTAAGAAATTGTTTCTTTTGGACTGGAAAACCACCCTGTTCAAATGGTTGCTTCAGGTTCAACATACATTCCTGCAGCCCTTGACACCAATTCCGACTTCCGCGCCTGATAGCAGTTGTCCTCCCAGTCCCCATCTTCAGAATTGGTCTCCATGAGTGGATGGCATTCCCGCCACCGGCCCTGACAATATGCAGCATATTCACCCATATCCCAGACTGCTTCGAATGCGAAGGGCGTAAGGGCGTAGGGTACCCTCAGCGTCGCCCTCGACCCCGACTTTTCAGGGGCCCTTGAAATCGGCCCGTGTCGAGGGCACAACCATCTTGACCCCACAAAAACCTTCTTTTTCTGCACATGTGCTTGTTTTTTTTCTTCCGCGGCCCAAAGCCTGGAGAAAGAGAAAAACAACATGCCCAAAAACATCACTCGAGCGATCAAGATCAGATCCGCACCTCGTGGGCGTCCCTCAGAGAGAAGTGGAAGGACTGGTCTTGCCCCTTCCTGGAAGGCAGGTCAAACATCCACATGAAATGGGGGCAGCGCATTGAAAAAAACAACTCGTTCCTGAAGAATGAATGGCGATGCTTTTTTTCTTGCCCCGGTCTTCGGTCGGTCTTCGCTTTTTGGCCCCCTTCCCCCCTGGCAGGAAAGAAACAGCTTCGCCAGCATCTTTTGGCCCTTTGGTGCCTGGATCACCTCACAGCAAACACCGCAAATCCTGGTACAAACATGGTGAACCCAGAACCATGTAAAGAATTAGAAAGGCCCGCAACTATTTCCGGCTGGGACTGCCCCTTACTAACCTTTATCTACCCCCGGGTTTTGATTGTAGATCAAATAAGAACGCCTTGCATTTCCACGTTCCACCCGGGCCTTGTGAGCTCCGTTGCGTTCCAGGCGCCGAACCGCTCTAGCACCGCCTGAGGCACAGGTGGCACAGCTGGCACAGCTGGAACAGTTCAGTCGAAGCCGCGGGGTGTCTTCGCTTCGCGCGCCTTCGCGGTCGCAGACACCAGCTTGGATGGCGACTCCGTGGCCTGGGGCTGCAAGGCCCAAGAGAATTCGGTGAGTCCCCGAAGATGGGAGAATTAATTCGGTGAGTCCCCGATGTGTCCGTAGCATGGACTATCAGAAAAGTCGTCCAATGCCTTCGCAAGCGTCCACAAAGTCCGCGCTGAGGGTCCGCTTCTTTCTTCCCTTTGACAACATCCCATCGAAACGAAAGGGTCCCGCCGAGTTCGTTCTTGGTCTGTTGAGGTGAGAATGTGACCAAGCTCAGCGTGGACCTGAGCTCAAGTGCCTTTGGTTTCGGGAATGGCAAGGAGTCCATCAGCATCCCATGCAGTTCAGGACGTTGATCTGCCGAGCCCAAGGCGCGTTTGCCAAGACCACGCAGCTATTCGGATACCCGCGTTTGTCGCACAGACTCCAGCCACCCACTCTGAGGAGCAAGCATTGATCAATTTCCCTTCCTCCAAAGCGGTGTTGAAGTCCGAAGCTCCAATCTGGCGCAAGCTTCCCAACTCAGAATGGCTCATGGTGCTCCGAATCCCGGGCCCAGCTCGCGCCAAATCCCCTCCCTCTCCCCTCGCGTCCAATCAATTCGCCGGGGCGGCGAGCAAACCTTCCTGGTGTTGAAAGGATGGTGACATCTGCTTCACCACAAAGATGCTAGAGTCTGGCCGCGAGCAAACGGAAGCGTGCGGAACCGTCGGAATGCCTGGCTACCTCCCCATGGGCAATTGCTATGGCCAAGCTCCATGGGCGATCCGTGAAGCATCCAGCATGTTCATGCTCATGTGCTATCAACCAGTGCCAAGGAGGTCAGGAGTTAGTCCTCCCTACCAGGTGTCGTTCAGTCCAGAGAAACAAGTCCCATGGTGCAGAATCAAATTGCCGGATATCCGAACCTAGGTTTGATTGGGATGGTCCCCCAGCTTCTAGCTTTCATCTATCCAATTCGGTGATACAAAAAACTGCTCCCATGTCTGGCTTAGGACATTTTAGGCTAGGCCATTTCGGGCAAGGTGACACATGTTCATCCAAACCCAAATTCAAAAAAAACAACACCTGACAACAAACACCAGGTCGTAGATGTTCCAAACCCAACTCCAGAAAGAAAGAAAAAACGCGGAACCCAAAAACAACGCCCGGAGGCCGGATTGCTCGCGCGCTCGAGGCCCACAGATCTGAACCATGCCGCGGCCCACTGGAGCTGGAGAGCTCGAAGCTCCAGGGCGGGCCCCTGAGGTTGCTCTGAAGCCGGATCCAGGCCTCGCGAATCGACCCGACATGGTCGTCCACGTCTTCAACAAGAAAAAAACATGGAGTTTCTTTACAAAACATGGGGATTCTTTCAACAAATGGAGATTCACCGGGCGACGTCGTTCGAGTATAGCGGAGTTTGCGCGTGCGCACAGCTATTTCGACTGCATGATTGATTGTGGCAAAAAGCATCCCAAATCCCGACTGGAGAGTGGGCTGATTCCAAAGTTCGCACAAATCTGGCTGTTTGCATCCAGTACAGCCAGCAAGCATTTACAGATTCTCCTATCAGCAGCAGCAGGTCTCTATCCAGAATATATCTGGGGTGTGTGGCTTTCACACAAAAGCCTGGTAAGCGTCATCTCGGCTTTGCAATCCGGAGGGCAGTGGCATGGGTGCAAATGGCACCCACTTGCTTTCCGACGCCGAATGCGTGGGGGGACGCGCATCCGTGGTTGGATGAGTTGAAGTCGGGAAAAGGACTGAAACCCCCAAAGGAACATGCTCTGCAGCTAAACTCGATCCAGCAAAAATCGAAATAACTATGTGGCAAGAAATTTAAGACCCACCTTGCGAATGTGAAGTTGTCGCGTTTCCGTTCTTACCCCAAAGCTGGCCGTGTGGGCCCTCTTGCAGAGGCAAAGCGCCTTTTTCCGCAAAGCAAAAACAGAAAGCACTCAAGAAACAAACTGGAGTGTGGCCCTCTTTCCAGAAGTCTTGCAAAGCCTGTTTAAACCCAAGGACACCCTTCAAAACGACACCCCACGAATCGGCGCATTCCGTTTGATTCCCCGCTGAGGCCAGGTCCAGCGCCAACTCGTAGCTGACCAGGTCTAGGGTCGTATCTGCCGCCTCGACTTTTTCAGGGGCAGGCGATTTCACGCTTGGCGCCTTGAGTCCAGTTAAAGCCCGCGGACTTGTCGCTCCCTAGTTTTTCCCCAACTGAAAGCGATGAGACTCAGATAGGCTGCGGGGGTCCGGGGCGGCTCTGAGGTAAGGTTCTGCGAGGGTTCCGCGAGGGCTCCGGGGACGAGGGGTGTCTTCCGCGTCTGCAGAACCCATAATTACGGGTTGTTGGGGATATCACCCGAGCTTCAACAAAAAAATAAAGAATACCTCAAGTCCCCATGAAGCCAGGTAGGAACGAACCCCACTCAAGCGTCACCAGCAATTCCATTAGCTTCGGACGACCTGAACTGAGGCTCCCGCCACCACCCCATCCATGCAGGAGTAGTTGCCGCAAATGGCGAGCGGCGACGTCCTTCGCATTGGCAATTCCCCTGGGTCAACCACCCCCCGTGTCAAAATGCCAGGCTTTTGTTCAGTGGTATATGGGTGTCGTCTTTTGAGGGATCCCTTTTTGGTGGTTTGAAAGGAAACCAAAAGGAGGCTTCCGACGGGTTCCAATTGCATCAATATCCATTCCTCCAATTACCCACCCTTTCTGTCAGGGAATGATGTCCAATCATGTCTTCCCCTGACTAATGGAGTACTGTTTGACATTAGGGTGTGTCTTGATTTAGCGTACCCCCCTCCAACTACAGACCCCAAAATAAATGAATGAATGAATGAACGAACGAACGAACGAATACATGCATGCATGAATGAACGAACGAACGAACGAATGATTGAATGAATGAATGCATGCATGAATGAATGAATGAATAAATAAATGAATGAGTGAATAAATGAATAAACTAATTAATTAATTAATTAATTAATTAATTAATTAATTAATTAATTAATAAACAAATACATAAATAAACAAACAAACAAATACATAAATATTCAAAACATAATCAAATAAATGAATGTTCAAAAAAAATGGGGGGGAGGGTTACCAACTCAAAAAACAAAGAGACACAAGCCCATGGTCCAGGACAGAGCCAGCTGGCCACCCGTCGTGGGATTCTCCTAAGCCCAGAGAATCCGAGAGCTCGGTCCCTGTCGCTTGCGGCAGAGTTTTTGCTTCTGAGGTCCGGACACCTTCCCACCAGGGATGGAAGAGGTACACGGGTGACCACATCTTTTTCATCTTCCCCTGGGTACATGGCCATACCCCCAGTGAACATCCCAATCCCCGCTACAACAGGTTCTAAAAAGGGTGGTGCACCTACCGCAGTTCTGACCCACAGCCACATGGGTGTATACTTTTTGAGGTGACCCCAGGCACCCCCGCTTGTTTTTGCGGCTTTAAAGGGAAACCAAGAGGAAACAGACCACTGAAAAAAAGGCACCCCCACCTTCACCGAGTGGATTGTGAGCAACAAGCCAGGGGACGGAGAACATCCATAGCTTCACTGCGCAACAGCACAAACTCTGAATTCAAAAGCTCCCCACCTCTACGTGTCCAGGCTCAGTCTCACCTTAGATGCTCGTACAACGCTCATAGGCTACCTGCTGAATTCTGAGGTTCGGCGGGGTTCTGCGTGCCAGCAACTCTGAAAAACCGAAGCCACGGTCAAATGACTTGTTTTTCCTTTGAGGGACAAGGAAAATGTCAGCTTTAGAGCTCGGCCCCAGGCCAGACAACTTCGCCTGCTGAGCCAACTTCACCTGCCACCAGACCAGTCCCTGTCCAACAAAGTGGCGGCAGATGAAGGTCTGCTGAGAAGGGAGGCCTGTACATGGGGAAATCGCTGGGAACAAGAAGCTGCCCGCGTTCCAATTGGAAAACGAGTACGACAAACAAAAACCTGACGGTAACCAGCAGGGAATGAAAAATGGAACCACCCCCTCTAAACCATCCCCCGTGGCTTCCTTTCTCCAAAAACCGGTTCAGTCCCAACACCCGGAAGGTCATTCCTCTAGAGGACACTTCCCCATTCTTTCCAGGGATCCTTCTTTCCAGAAAACCATCAGAAACCCAGGGAAACAGCGATCGGTTTTTGAAAAGAACGATGGTTGAAAAGGAATGGTTGGAATCAACCCCTGGAGTTCCCCATCGCACCAAACCGCCTGGGTCTGGAAGAAAGGCATCTCCATGGGCGCCACAGGCCTGGCAAGGCCCGTGACCATGGAGTCCCAGACACGGATGGCTGAGTTTTAACCAAAAGCACCAGGAGCAGCCCCAGCTTGGAAAAGGGGAGGACAACAAATCAAGAATGTGTTTTGTTTTGCTTTTTTGTGTGTATATCTTGAAACAAAAGGAGGAAAACCCCCCAAAAAAAAATGAAAGAAAAAAGAACCAGCCCACGTTAGGGGAACTTCCTGATCCGTGGCGCTTCGAAACGTCCCCCGGCCCCGAGCCAAAAGGTCTTCGAAGGCTTCGGCCTGGAGATGAAGAAGTCCCCCCGCGCGCCGTGCAGCGGATGCGCCTGGGCTCCGGGGTCCGGCAGCCGCTCGCGGCGAAGCGACGGAGCGACGAAGCTCGCGGAAAGCTCCGGCGAATAAGTGGAGAGCCGACCCCCCCCCCCCGGCCAACCCAACGCCCTCCCAACATTTCCGGCAGCTTGTTGGGTTGTTTATGTGGCTAGGCCATGTCCAAATCGGAAGTTTAGTGGATGGAACCACCCTGTTTTTCCCCATAACGTTTGTTGGTATTTGGGTATGGGTCAAAATGAGAAACCACCAGGGAACCGCAGGTTTGAGTCCTTGGTTCCATTTACCAGGGCAACCCATTTTGGGCACCTATTTGTTTTTTTCCCATTTTCCAAGCTCCAAGGCCGGGGTGGCCGTGCTAGCACATGCAAATCCAAATCGGAAGCTCGGAAGTGGATGGATTCTGAAACGGCACGCAGACGGATGTGTGCCTCGCCTCGTAGACTGAGAGGGTGGTCGGCCCGCTGTTGGAAGCCGGCGCATCCAGGAGAAACGGCGCTTCCTTCTCACTCGATTCATGTTGACCCCCCAGAGACATAAGCTGGCAGATCGTCAGGGGCGATTGTTCCCCCCTAAGTTAAGGCACGCCCCCATAACTTCATCCAGGGCTTGATGAGTGATGAATCCTGGGCTTCCATCCAAGCCGACCTTTGGCAACACGAGGCTTCACGTAACTTCAACGCGGCCTTCGCCAGAGTCTTGGCCCAGTAACTGGGCCGGAAGGCCGCGCCCATAATCTCCTGCTCGTCCTGTCAGCACGTCTGCACTCACTCTGAAACCAGGCTGTGGGTCAAAACCAATGGGATCCGTTTTTGGCCACCCATTTGAGTCTATTTTAGTGGGGATTGTGATGTTCACTGGGGGTACGGGATTTTGACCCACGGCCAAGTAGGAAGGCGCTTCTTTTGAATCTCCCAGAGAAGCATGTTACGCATCCGAGTCGCAAGGACTGCATAGAGGCTCAAAGCTCTGCCGGAGCAGAGATTGTTGTTCCTCGGCGCGAGCCAGTGAGCCTGACTCATGTTTTTCTGTCTCTGCCGAGCTGCAGTTGGGTACAGGTCCACTGGTTGTTCAGCTCCTCTCGGCTTCGAGACACAGCTGCCCAATGAGCCATGCATATCCGTGAGTTTGGCTGGATCGGGTGCATTGAGTGATCATCTATCCCTCCTCCCATGCCCGATGTGCTAGCCCTCTCCGCTGCATTTCCTTGGCCGTCAATCTCTCTCAGGTGGAAAGTGACACGTGCCAGGCCAAAGCTCCATTCACCAAAGGGGTAAAGGCCGCCCAAAGATCTTGGGACCTTTACCCAATGGACCCTTTGTCCTAGATTCCAGACTTTTACCCACGAGGGTCCCATCTGGAAGCGAGTCGAACCCCGGCCTTGGTGCCTAACCAAAACCAGAAAAAGGAAACTCAAAAGGCATCCTGATCCCGGCAGATGTGCTCGTTGATGGCTAGCTGTATCCCAAGGGGTGTCTTTGACAATATGGGGGTGAGATTTGCTTTTGGGAACCTCTGGTGGACATGCTCAGCATTGTGGAGGGTATCCTTCACTAGACATCATAGCCGGAGATACGTCCTCGAACTACCTCCTGGGAGCATCGTTGCCAACAGGATGCCGACGGAGCTGTTAATTTTCAGCTAATGTCGGGATTGTCCCTGACCTTTACTTATTTGACTGCTCCAAGTGAGTCACCATCAAAACCTGGTGCAAAAATGGTCTGCCCAAACCAATGTAAAGAACTACAAAGGCGGCCGCACCCAATTCTGGTTGGTGTTCGATTCGTAGACTTCTTCAATGAAACATCCATTAAACCAAAAAGATATGCACTTGGAAGACTAGATCAGTACTCTCCCGAACGTTGGGACAGGACTGTCCCTGAACCTTCCTCTACCCAAATGACGCTCAGTGTAACCCCAGCTCCACTCAGTGAGGCTTGCTCCAATCTAACAAGTCGGGTGGAACCCCAGTGTCAGGTTCCTCTTGCTCAAGTGGGCTTGCGTCCAAGGTGCAGAGGTGAAATCCCAGCCGTCGCGGCTTCGCGACATGCGGATGGCCCCCGTCAGCGTGTCCACCGCCCGGTCCTGGCCACGCAAGGCGCACTGCGCATGCTCAAAGACCCCAGCCACCCCGCCACCACACCCACCCCCGCCATCCCCCCCGCCACCCCCCCACCCACCCACCCACCCGCCCACCCACCACCTTATCCTTTTCATTTCTCTTGTATTTTTTGTTCCTTCTTTTCTGCTTGCTTCTTTTCTTGTTGCTTCTTGTCTTTTGCTCTCTTTTCTGCTTGCTTCTTTCTCTATGAAAGCACTCTCTCCCTCGCTCTCATGTCGAGGCCCGGGCCGGCGGCTCCACGATGCCTACGAAGATGGCCTGCTCCACGGCTTTGGAGGCCTGACGCGGACGCGGGTAGGTCTCAGGTCTCCGGTCTCCGGTCTCGACGCCTCCAGCAGCACCCATTGCGTGGCGTTTAAAACCTGGAGACGCGCCCAGTCCGACCGAGCCGACCGAGCCGCGCCGAGCCGCACCGAGCCGACCGAGAGCGAGCCCAGCGAGCCGAGCCCAAGCACGGAGAAAGGCCCCGACGATGTCACTGATCAACTCTTTCTGGGTCCGGACGGAGTGGGCATAATTCCGGAAGGTCGCCTCAGAGCTCACCCGGTCACCCTGGTTCTTCCGCGGCTTTCTTTCTCCCTAGAGAGCCACAAGATGCACTCAGCTGCCCGGATCTCACCGAGACCCAGGGGAGTGCAACCAAAGCGGACTTAGGGCCCCAGCCCTTTGCGCATCCAGGGAGAACATGGCAAGAGGCACGAAGACCTGAGCGATGGAGCTCGGCCTTTGGCATCCTGGTAAGTGGAAACATGGACCAACACCTGCGTAACCTCTCCTGTATAATTTTGAACCACGCCTCCTGAGGTGGCAGAGACCATGTTTGGAGCCGAATTACTTTTGACATAACCCCCCAAGACAGCTTCTCTGAGAGCGGAGCCCCGATGCAGGCGGCCAACATGATCAGCGTGGGCAACATGACCGCGCAGCGGAAGGGCACGCCTAGCCAGCATTCCCGCAACCGGCCAGGCAAGCAAGCCACACACACGCACACTGACGCTATTTGAACAAGATGAATCCAGTAAGGTTTTTCTAAACCAGTTTGAGGTACTCCTAAAACCCAAGGAAGGCCCCTTATAACCCTGCTTTGGAATACACTTGCCGTTGCACAGCGCTTGGATGCGTGAAACGGCGACACGAAGACCACGTCACCAAGATCAGTTGCCAGCAAGGCACCGCATCCAGGGAGGTGCGCCCTCGTGGGGATGGTGGCAACAAAATCTCCGACGTGACATGCGCATGATTGCATGTTTTCTTGGGTCTACCCTTTGGGTGCGGATTTATTTTGGGATGTGCTTTTTGTTTTTGTCCATTGAAAAATACCCCTCCATACCCTTCTCCTGGTGTTTTTGCAGGAACCGAAGTCCACCCACAAAAAAAAGGTTCCCCCAAATAGGGAGCCCGACAACATCAAGGACCAATCACAAGGGGAGTTCTGGGACGTAAATCAAACCAAAGGCAAAAGGAAATCCAAAAAAGAGCTGGAACCAGGGTTCCACTTTTTGACTACCTCTAAGAAGGCCCTTGGTTCTCCTTTTGGGGAAATGAACCACTGGGTTTAAGTCTCTGGAGTAGACAAAAAGTGGAATGGCTGGAACTGCAGGTTCGTTTTTTTGGGGATCCATTGGGCACCCCAATTCTTTTCGCGGCCAAGGCTCTGGGGATCCTCCTGGCGCTCCGCCTGCCGAAGCAAAATCCGAGGAGTCGCAAATGGTTCAGGTCCCGCCCGGGAATCGGAACATCTAGATCGACTCAGGCTGCCCCCCCCCCAAAAAAAACAAAGAGAAAAAAAGACACGGATGTATTTTTAAGAAGAGCCCCCCCCAACACCAACAACCAGAAAATAGCACAAGACAACAAACGCGGTTCAGTCGCTTCAAGCCTCTCGGCGGTTGGCTCCGCCCGGCGTGGCCGTGGCCCTCGTATGAGACCGCTTCGGCGATCCCCACGGCGACACCTGGGTGAAGGGCTCGAAGCAAAACTGGTCGGGCGGGTGCCGCTCAAGATTCACCAGCCAGGGTTGCGCCCAAGGTCTGATTCTGGCACATGTGTTTGGAGCCACAGCCAGGCACTAAAAGAAAAACGGAAAAGAAAAATAAATAAAAACGGGGAAGAAAAAAAAAGCTTTCCCGTTGAATGCCCCAACCAACCTTAACAAGGCCTCGCAAAACCCAGCGCCCAAAAGGCCATGGAGAGCTTTGGACTCGCACTCTCCATCTGGCGCGAGTCTGAAGCACGCAAAGCGGAAACAACCAATTCCTCACCACGAAAAACACCTGGGGTTGACCAAAAGGTCCTTTACATGAGATGACAATTGGGAAGACCACCAAAAAAGACTTGACTTCAACATTAAAGGACCGGATAACCCCACATGCTATGTTTTTCCCAAGGATGTGAGTTCAAATGTCTGGACACAAAGCTTCTGCGAGCCCAATCTCAACATCCAACAGCTTGCCTCACAATGCACCCTGCCTCATGTACTCACAGCTCTGCACTTACACAAGCCTTGTAGACGACCCTTTAGACATCCGAGAAGTGTGAGTGAGTGTGAGTATGAATGCGAGCGAATGAGTGACAAAATGCTGCCCCTGCCACACAAACACACACCCAGACGCACAGACTGCTGCGCCTGCCACGACTTCGGCAATGGCATCTCCAAAGTGCCGCGCCTGCCACGATTTCGCACGCCCCCCGCCGAGCGCGCAACGCCATCCTGTCCTTTTAGACAGCTGCCAAATGCTGCCCCTGCCACACAAACGCACACCCAGATGCACAGAATGCTGCGCCTGCCCTGCCACACAAACACACACCCAGATGCACAGAATGCTGCGCCTGCCACGACTTCGGCAATGGCATCTCCACACCCAGATGCACAGAATGCAGCGCCTGCCACGACAGAGGCAACGGCATCGCCAAAGTGCTGCGCCTGCCACGATTTCGCACGCCCCCCGCCGCGCGCGCGACAACATCCTGTCCCTCTAGCCACACAAACTGCACCCAGATGCACAGAATGCTGCGCCTGCCACGACTTCGGCAACGGCATCGCCAAAGTGCTGCGCCTGCCACGATTTCGCACACCCCCCGCCGCGCGCGCGCCAACATCCTGTCCCTCTAGACAGCTGCCGAATGCTACCCCTGCCACACAAACACACACCCAGATGCACAGAATGCTGCGCCTGCCACGACTTCGGCAACGGCATCGCCAAAGTGCTGCGCCTGCCACGATTTCGCACACCCCCCGCCGCGCGCGCGCCAACATCCTGTCCCTCTAGACAGCTGCCGAATGCTACCCCTGCCACACAAACACACACCCAGATGCACAGAATGCTGCGCCTGCCACGACTTGCCAACGGCACGCCAAACTTCGGCAACGGCATCGCCAAAGTGCTGCGCCTGCCACGATTTCGCACACCCCCCGCCGCGCGCGCGCCAACATCCTGTCCCTCTAGACAGCTGCCGAATGCTACCCCTGCCACACAAACACACACCCAGATGCACAGAATGCTGCGCCTGCCACGACTTCGGCATCGCCAAACGGCTCGCACGCAAAGTGCTGCGCCTGCCACGATTTCGCACACCCCCCGCCGCGCGCGCGCCAACATCCTGTCCCTCTAGACAGCTGCCGAATGCTACCCCTGCCACACAAACACACACCCAGATGCACAGAATGCTGCGCCTGCCACGACTTCGGCAACGGCATCGCCAAAGTGCTGCGCCTGCCACGATTTCGCACACCCCCCGCCGCGCGCGCGACAACATCCTGTCCCTCTAGACAGCTGCCGAATGCGACCCCTGCCACACAAACACACACCCAGATGCACAGAATGCTGCGCCTGCCACGACTTCGGCAACGGCATCGCCAAAGTGCTGCGCCTGCCACGATTTCGCACACCCCCCGCCGCGCGCGCGACAACATCCTGTCCCTCTAGACAGCTGCCGTGAGTCAGCGAGTGTGAGTGAGTGAGTGAGCGAGTGAGTGAGTGAGTGAGTGAGTGAGTGAGTGAGTGAGTGAGTGAATGAGAGTGAGTGAATGAGAGTGAGTGTGAGTGAGTGAGTGTGAGTGAGCGTGAGTGAGTGAGTGAGTGAGTGAGTGTGAGTGAGTGTGAGTGAGTGAGTGTGAGTGAGTGTGAGTGACTGAGTGTGAGTGAGTGAGTGAGTGAGTGTGAGTGAGTGTGAGTGTGAGTGTGAGTGAGTGAGTGAGTGAGTGAGTGAGTGAGTGAGTGAGTGAGTGAGTGAGTGAGTGAGTGAGTGAGTGAGTGAGTGAGACAGTGATGAGGAGGGAGGGCGGGAGGAGGAGGAGAAGGAGACGCGGCGCGCGGACGACGAGCGGTAAAAGTAAGAACCCCACACAAAGATGTGGGGAATAAGAAGAGTTTCCCATCCTTTTGAGGGCGGAAGGGCCACACTTCCCACCAGTCCCACCCACCCATTCCCACCCACCCATTCCCACTCACCCACCCACCCGCCCATTGACCCAACCCCCCCTGCAGCTGACGCCAAAAAGACGCGACCCATGTGCTTCAGGGTTGTCAGGGTCCCGGGCCGCGGCCCGCGAGCTGGGAGAAAAAAGGCTCGGGCCCTCCTGGCGCGATCGCCCCTTCCCGCAGATTGAATCAATCAGCTGACCTCCCATTGGGTGTGGCTCAAAATGAAAAGAGCTAGGGTTACGCAGTGTTTGGTTGTTGTTTCCATTCACCAGGCGCCCATTTTGGGGTGCCACTTTTTTGAGCTACAGCCAATTGGCTTGGGGCCGAAGCGGTGGTTTGCTGGTGACATGGAGGGGCCCCGCCTTCACCATCTACAAAAGTCAGGGGTTCAATTCCCCAAACCACAAACCCAAACCACCAACTAAGGGGTACCTGAAATACCTGACATAAAGAGAGCACCACCCACAAAAAACAAAAAAGTGTCGCCCACATTATGTTTTCTTGATCTGCTTGTCTCTGCCTGCGTGTCTCTGTGCGTCTCTGCGCGTCTCTGCGTGTCTCTGTGTCTTTGCTGGTCGTTGCGTGTCTGTGTCTGTCTGTGCGCGTGTGTCTCCGTCTGTGTCTCTGTCTGTCAGTGTCAGTCTGTGTGTGTCTGTCGCTGTGTCTGCGTCTGTCTGTGTGTGTGTGTGTGTCTGTGTGTCTTTGTGTATGTGGCGCTGGCTGTATCCTTGCCTTGCCCGTGCCTGCCTCCATGTGAGCAGATGCTAAGCCAACAATTGATGAAATATGTAAACAGTTGCCTTGATCACTTGCTTGAGGTGGCTGAAGGCATGCAGGAAAGAGCCATTCGACCAAACATCTGAGGGACAAAATGTGAATCTGCATTATTAGCAAGCAGTATGGCCGCAGCAGTCCCGGTGTGTGTCAGCCGCATTTCCATCTGACTGGCACAAAGTGAACAAATGACACCCGGAGCTTCAAACTTGCGCTGCACAAACAACACCATCATCCCCTGCGGACATGCGCAAAAACCAAGTTGGGCCTGCTTGAGCGTCCCAGTTGTTTTTGCTGTCAGGTGCCAGCAACGGCATGTCATCATGACAAGCCTGATGCACTGGCCGTCATAACGATTCGTTCATGGTGCCGCTTGGACGTGTCTTTTTGTCAGGGTGGCCCCTTGTGTTTGGGTTTGCTTGTTTAAGGGCAACAAAATTCAAACACTTGTCTCTTAAAAGCGGGCAAAAGGGAAACCACCATCTATTTTCCGGGTCTTTGTAAACGAAGGTCAAACAGCAAACCGAAGCCCATCAGCTTTTTGCGGCTTCTCAAGTATATAGAAGTCCTCTCTTTTCACTATGTCAAACAAAAACCAAAAGGACACCCATCTTTGGGGTTCCTCTAACCCCTACTCCCAATACCACATGATGTCGAATGACGTCAGCGCTTGACCAAGGAGGTACTTTTTTCATTGCCCAAAGGAAAAGGAGCGATTGCTTGTTTCAAAAGTGGGGAACCTCCATATCGTGGGTTCCCTTGGTTTCCCTTCAAAGCACCCGCAAAGAGGGTACCGTACCCTCCAAAAAAGACACGCCCAATTAGGTATGAATCCGAACAGGGGATGTTTGGACGAATTCGGTGGGGGTCATGTCCAGCAAGCGCTAAAGGAGGTTTAGTTCCAACTCTTACAAGTCCTGCCCAATTGGGGTTCTTGAGGGAACCTTTTGTTTCTAACTTTAAAAGGAAACCAAAAGGATAATCCACCGTGCTAGGGGTCGCGGATCCCTTCAAGAAAAAACGAGCGAGGCCCCCCCCCTTTTTTGGGGACCACCGAGTTTCCATTGAGCGGGAAACCGGTTTCCCGTGCGGTTTCGTCCTGGGTCTTCTTCGGTGAGCTCCTCCAGTTCTTAGGAGTCTTCTCTCGCCACCGGTGAGAGTTCCAATCTTCGGCTTCGGAGTTCGGGAGGAGGCCTCCGCTTCGAAGGCCGAAGGCTGGCGGGTCAACACGGGCTCGCAAACTGGTACCCCAAAACTGGGTCCCGGTTTTGGGCCGGTTGCCCTGTCAACCAACCCCCCTATAAGGGCGCTGACCCTTGTCTGCCTAAGTTGCCGTTGTTTAGGTAGTGGAACTGGCATTGTCAAAAAGCTTAATCATTGTTGACATAACCTGCATGTACCGCTAAACTAGGTCCCATTGTTTCAATGGGGAGGTCTTCAACAGGCCTGCCATGCTTGTAACCTCACCTTGGGTTGCTTAGGTTGGGCGACGCGTGCCATCGGAGCCCTTCATTACCCGGTCCGTCCACAAGAGCTCTGGCAGGGAATCAGAAACAAACCGTGACGACTTGCTAAAATGAACTGGTGTTGAAATTCCCGAATACAAGAAACCACAAAAGATGATTTGCGGCGGTCATTCCATTTCTCATTGCCTGCGGGCAAAAAAAAGAACAAATGGGGGTCATTCCATTTCTCATTGCCTGCGGAAAGAAAAGAAACTAGGACTATCCCGAAAGCGTGTATGAGAAAGGTGATGCAATAATGTTGGGGTATATCTATGATGTTATATATATACACTGCTTCTCTCTCTCTCTCTCTCTTTATCTTTTTCTCTTTCTCTCTTTCTCTCTTTCTCTCTTTCTCTCTTTCTCTCTTTCTGTCTTTCTCTCTTTCTCTCTTTCTCTCTTTCTCTCTTTCTCTCTTTCTCTCTCTCTCTCTCTCTCTTTCTCTTTCTCTCTCTTTCTCTCTTTCTCTCTTATATCTTTCTCTCTTTCTCTCTCTCTCTCTCTTTCTCTCTTTCTCTCTTTCTCTCTCTCTCTCTCTCTCTCCCTTTCTCTCTTTATTCTCTCTTTCTTTCGCTTGCTCTCTCTATCTTTCTTGATTTCTCTCTTTCTTTCTCTCGCTCTCTCTATCTCTCTCTCTCTCTCTCTCTATCTTTCTCTCTCTCTCTCTCGCTTTCTCTCTTTATGTCTCTCTTTATTTCTCTTGCTCTCTCTCTCTCTCTCCCTCTCTTTCCTCTCTGTGTTTCTCTCTTTCTTTCCCTTTCTCTCTCTCTCTCTCCCTCTCTGTATCTCTGTATTTCTCTCTTTCTTTCCCTTGCTCTTTCTCTCTCTCTCTCTCTCTCTCTTTCTCTCTCTTTCTCTCTCTTTCTTTTTCTTGCTCTTTCTCTCTCTCTCTCTGTTTCTCTCTCTCTCTCTTTTTTTTTTTCTCTCTCTCTCTCCCTTTTTCTCTCTTTCTCTCTCTCTCTCTCTCTTTTTTTGTCTCTCTCTCTCTCTCTCTCTCTCTCTCTCTCTCTCTCTCTCTCTCTCTCTCTCTCTCTCTCTCTCTCTCTCTCTCTCTCTCTCTCTCTCTCTCTCTCTCTCTCTCTCTCTCTCTCTCTCTCTCTCTCTCTCTCTCTCCCTCCCTCCCTCCCTCCCTCCCTCCCTCCCTCCCTCCCTCCCTCCCTTTTTTTTCTCCCGAAAGCATTGCGAAGGGTTCTTCCGCGCAGAGCTCTTGGTCAACTTGCGCAGAGTAGCTTGCACAGAGTCACCAGCATGGAGATACCAGGAGCTCTTGGTCAACTTGCGCAGGGTAGCTTGCACAGAGTCACCAGCATGGAGATACCAGCATGGAGATACTCTCGCAGAGATTCTAGCACAGAGTAGCTTGCACAGAGTTACCAGCATGGAGATACTTGCACAGAGTCACCAGCATGGAGATACCAGCGCGGAGATACTTGCACAGAGTCACCAGCATGGAGATACTTGCACAGAGTCACCAGCATGGAGTCACCAGCATAGAGTTACTTGCGCAGAGCCAAGTGCAAAGATCCAAGCGTAGAGCCAAGTGCTCATTGCGAATTGCAAAGAGCGAGGTGCAAGGAGCCAAGCGCACAGAGCTAAGTGCACAGAGCCAAGTGCAAAGAGCGAAGTGCATCGAGCCAGGTGCATAGAGCCAAGTGCATAGAGCTAGGTGCATAGAGCTAAGCTAAGCTAGGTGTAGAGGCTCGGCGTTAGCACTTGCTCAGAGCATTTGCGCAGAGCAACTTGCACAGAGCACTTGCGTGCAGCAGCTTGCAGAGAGCAACTTGCGCGCAGCAGCCTGGAACAATGCAGCTTGCGCAGACCAATCGCGCGGCGCAGTTCGCCCAAAGCACATTGCGCCGAGCAGACTCGTGCAGAGCCAACTTGGACAGAGCCAGTTGCACAGAGCCACTCGCGAAAAGTAGCTTGCGTAGAGCCAACTTTCACAGAGCCAAGCTGCGCAGAGCCATCTTGCACAGAGCTAAGTTGCGCGAGCGTGCTTTGCAGAGACTGTGGCCGTCGTGTAAGCTTTGCTATTGATTGCTTTTCCTTTTGCTTGTAATTCGTTTCGAGCTTTACGAGCTTTACTCTTCTTGTTTTAACAGATGTAAATATGTGGGATCGAGCACTGCCATGTTTCCTCTCGTAGGACGATGAGATGGAGCTCTCATGTGACCATACACATTAGCATCGCCGCGCGCAGACACGCTCGCCGCGCGCAGACACGCTCGCCGCAGCGATGTAAAAAGGTGTCTCCGCGGCTGGATGAGCACCTGGCGAAAAATGCTTTCGGGCCAATCGTCCTCTAGCGCAAGCCGGAGCTGCGGGAGTGTACTTACTTTGCGTACTACTTTACTTGCCATTCTCAGGCCGGAGGTGCGGGGGCGCGCTTCGCGTGCTACTTTTGTACTTAGTTTTGACGAAAACCACAGTGAGAGCGCTCCGACACGCACGACCCCGCAGAGCGTTCGTCGGCCAGCGTGCAAATTCGCACGGTGCCACAGCGAGAGCCGCACGATCCCCGCAGAGGGTTCGTTGGCCAGCGTGCAAAGTCGCACGGCGCCACAGCGAGAGCGATCCGACACGCACGATCCCCGCAGAGGGTGCGTCGGCGACGTAGAAAATTCGCACGGCGCCACAGTGAGAGCGCTCCGACACGCACGATCCCCGCAGAGGGTTCGTAGGCGACGTACAAAGTTCGCACGGCGCCACAGTGAGAGCGCTCCGACACGCACGTTCCCCGCAAAGGGTTCGTCGGCGAGCGTGCAAATGCGCACGGCGGCACGATCCCCGCAGAAGGTCTGTCGGCCACGTAGAAAGTTCGCACGGCGCCACAGCGAGAGCGCTCCGACACGCACGATCCCCGCAGAGGGTTCGTCGACCAGCGCGCAAATTCGCACGGCGCCACAGCGAGAGTGCTCCGACACGCACGATCCCCGCACAATGTTCGTCGGCGACGTAGAAAATTCGCACGGCGCCACAGCGAGAGCGCTCCGATGCGCACGACCCCCGCAGAGGGTTCATCCCGCCAGCGCCCGCCAGACCCGCCCCCGGCTAAGAAAGAAGATAGAATTAAAGGCTGCGAGCTTCGGCTGGGTAAGCTAGGCTGTGTAAGTCAGGCTGCGTAAGCTAGGCTGCGTAAGTCAGGCTGCGTGAGCTAGGCTGCGTAAGTCAGACTGCGTAAGTCAGGCTGCGTCAGTCAGATTGCGTAAGTCAGGCTGCGTAAGTCAGGCTGCGTAAGTCAGGCTGCGTGAGTCAGGCTGCGTAGGTCAGACTGCGTAAGTCAGCTTGAGTAAGTCCCGCTGCGTGAGCTAGGCTACTCAAGTCAGGCTGTGTAGTCGGCAACCGTTTCTCCAAAGAACCCTTCGCGATGCTTTCGGGAAAAAGAAAAACTGGGGGTCATTCCATTTCTCATTGCCTGCGGGCAAAAACTAGACCACGGTTGGCCCGAAAGCAGAACATCGCAAGCGAGGTCGGCCCAACGCTGCAGGATGCGTTCTTTTTCCCCACACGAAGCATTCGTGAAGCAGGCGCGAGACAGCACCAGGCAAGGTGCTCTGCGCAAACTGGTCGGTGCAAGTTGGTCTGCGCAAGTTGCTCTACACAAGTTGCACTGTGCAAGTTGCTCTGCGCAAGTTGCTCCGCGCAAGTTGCTCCGGCAAGCTGGTCCCTGCAAGTGGCTCCCTGCAAGTTGCTCTGTGCAAATTGCGCTCCCTGCAAGTTGCTCTGCGCAAGCCGCTCTGTGCAAGTTGCTCTGTGCAAGTTGCTCTGCGTAAGTTGCTCTGCGCAAGTTGCTCTAGGCAAGGCGCTCTCCGCAAACTGGTCGGTGCAAGTTGGTCTGCGCAAGTTGCTCTGTGCAACTTGCTCTGCGCAAGTTGCTCTGCGCAAGTTGCTTTAAAATGCAAGTTGCATCTTGCGACGCCCGCCCGCGGACCAGGGAGGAATCGAACCCGCGACCCGCCGGTTCCGGGAGCAGGCGCGCGAACCACGAGACAACTCCCGAAGACCAGTTCGAACAACAAAAGTCGCAAAAACCTCGAGTTTTTGCACCTCCACCACGCCGATTCCCGCAGAGGGTTGCGCGAGCACCGCAGAAATCGCAAAAAACCTCGAGTTTTTGCACCTCGACCACGCCGATCCCCGCAGAGGGTCGCGCGAGCAGGTTAAACATCGCAAAAAACCATGGGTTTTTGCACCTCGACCACGCCGATCCCCGCAGAGGGTCGCGCGAGCAGGTTAAACATCGCAAAAAACCTCGAGTTTTTGCACCTCGACCACGCCGATCCCCGCAGAGGGTCGCGCGAGCACCGCAGAAATCGCAAAAAACCATGGGTTTTTGCACCTCGACCACGCCGATCCCCGCAGAGGGTCGCGCGGGAACTTTAGAAATCGCAAAAAACCATGGGTTTTTGCACCTCGACCACGCCGATCCCCGCAGAGGGTCGATTTTCGTGTAGTGTCGTCGGCACTACCCCGCCGCCCTAAGAAGAGATTTTAACTCCTCGCAAGTCAATTGCACTTGACTCCTTGCACTTGCAACTTGCACTTGACTCCTTGCTTGTTTCAAGGAGTCATTGCAAGGAGTCATTGCAAGGAGTCATTGCAAGGAGTCATTGCAAGGAGTCATGGCAAGGAGTCATTGCAAGGAGTCATTGCAAGGAGTCATTGCAAGGAGTCATTGCAAGGAGTCATTGCAAGGAGTCATGAGAGCCATTGCAAGTTGCAAGGAGCCAAGTGCATGGAGTCAAGTGCAAGTCGCAAGTGCACGGAGTTAAGTGCAAGTTGCAAGTGCAAGGGGCCAAGTGCAAGGAGCCAAGTGCAAGGAGCCAAGTGCATGGAGTCAAGTGCAAGTTGCAAGTGCATGGAGTCAAGTGCAAGTTGCAAGTGCAAGGAGTCAAGTGCAAGTTGCAAGTGCAAGGAGTCAAGTGCAAGTTGCAATCCTTGCCATGACTCCTTGCAATGACTCCTTGCAATGACTCCTTGCAATGACTCCTTGCAATGACTCCTTGCAATGACTCCTTGCAATGACTCCTTGCAATGACTCCTTGCAATGACTCCTTGCAATGACTCCTTGCAATGACTCCTTGCAATGACTCCTTGCAATGACTCCTTGCAATGACTCCTTGCAATGACTCCTTGCAATGACTCCTTGCAATGACTCCTTGCAATGACTCCTTGCAATGACTCCTTGCAATGACTCCTTGCAATGACTCCTTGCAATGACTTTCATGATGATGATTCCTTGCAATGACACCTTGTAATGACTCTCATGAGAACAACTCAAGTGAACCCAGCGGAAGAACCCTTCGCCATGCTTTCGGGAAAAGGAAAACTGGGGGTCATTCCATTTCTCATTGCCTGCGGGCAAAAAGAAAAGACGGGCGAAAAAATGAAAAACTGGGGGGGCATTCCATTTCTCATTGCCTGCGGAAAAAAAAGAAAAGAACAACTGGTTGTCATTCCATTTCTCATTGCCTGCGGGCGAAAAAAACAAATAAAAACTGGGGGGCATTCCATTTCTCATTGCCTGCGGAAAAAAAAGGATTTAAAAAAAAAAAAATGAAAAGGGGAGAAAAAAACAAGAAAAAACGGAGGTAACCAAAAGAAGCCAAAGGCCACGTACCTCGAGAAGAGGAAATTCCCCCTCTGGGGTGCCGGCTGCCCGCGACACCCTGCAGGCGTCCCACCCTCTCTCTGACCTGGCGGCTTTTGCGAAATCGTGGGTCAAAATCGAACCAACAAAAGAAGGGGGCGGTAGATACACATATATATATATATATCATATATATATATATATCATATATATATATATATCATAAAACAACAATGACGAAGGCAAACAACTTCTTCAGTGAACACATCTTCCATGCAACAAGCCGCTTGCACATTGGCAAGGGTCCAACAACAGCAGGAAGAGACTGGTGCAGCGGTTGGTTCTTGGTTTCCCTAAGGAACAGGTTTCCCCTCCCCCCCTTTCCCTGCCCCAAAAAGACGCACGCGCGGCGCGTCGGCGCTTTTTCTTCGGGGCGGAGAAAAAAACACTCTGAGGCTATGGCCACCTCCATGATGCTCTGGATGCTTTCGGCACCTGAGCCAGGCTTGGGCTTGTCAAGGGGGCAGCCATGTTCAATGGATGGGCTCCCTCTTGGGTCCCCCTACCTTCCAAAAATGGATGGATACCCTCGAAGACCTGCCCCCCACCACCTGTTTCTCAATGCGGATCGACCAATCCGAATCTGCGAAGTTGCAAGCAAGAAGCTATCCTGACGCTTCGGCAGAATCAGCGCGCTGACGGTACCTGCGAGGTGAATGCCATAGCCATTCCAGTACCGCCTCAGGTCTCTCGGGGCACGTTTGGCGCCAAAGCTTCGGCTGCAATCCTAAGGATCTCAGGGCCACTTGCCATAACTGGACTCCGCGAAGAAGAAGAAAAAGCAAGCTGGCCTGCTCAATGGGCACCGAGACATGCACGTTCGCTTCATCCATGACCTCGAAAAAAAATTGGTGTTTTTCATGGAAGCCTTGGGAACGAAAAAAACGAGCTCAAACACGCAGGCACCCTGACCTCATCGTCCATGGCCCAAGACGATGCCTCGAGAAGCCCAATGGTTTGCACCATTCACAGCGCACAGTGTGAAATAAAGACAAATCACAAGATCCACCAGCCCCCTTTTGGTTACATGGGTATGGCTCAAGACTCAAGACTACACCACTACAAAAGCGCAGGTTTTAGTCCATGTTTTCATTCACCAGGGCAACCCATTTTGGGGATTCCTATCTTTGACAACCAGCGCCACACGTCCAAGTTTGCGCCTGGGTCTCCAAGGCCCTACTCGCGTCACTAGGAGGCGCTCGCGACCGGAGACACGCTCTTGGCTGAGTCGTGCGATTTGCTGGGCTTCCGAGTGTCGATCTGTTTCGGCCTCGGCTTTGCCATTCCCTCAGGCGCTGTTTGCGGTACTGAGTCTAGGAACTCTCGGCCGGCTTCCTGTCGCTCATCCGAATGGGATGCTCAAAAAAAGCTGTTGGCTGCGGCGCGCACGAGAGAAATGCCGGCGTTGTCACTGAGCCAATAAGCACTTCAGGAAGAAACACCCCAAATGACGTGCACACAACTCGCAACAAATGACATGCAAAACTCCTCATGACACGGGGTTGCCACCGAATCGGATTCGACTCAAACAGGCCGCTGGCACGCCAGGGTGACCTTGTTGACATTCTTGGGGCCTTGTCTTGCCAGGGATCGGTATCTCCTCACCTCGGCAAGAGCTCCCTGCCACAGCTGGCGGCCAGCCGAAGTAGCCGATCCGGATTCTGGGAAACCCAGGTGGAAGTTGGAATTTATGGGGAAAACCCGGGTGGAAATTGCCTTTAGGCCATCTTTTCGGTTTGGCACATGCAGCTTGAAGGCCATGGCCTAGGAACCTGAACAGCCGCGCCTGCAGCCCGCTCCAGGTCTTGGAGGCATCTGGTAGGTCGAAGACCTCTCAGCAGAAGGCCGTGAGCCCGGGAGGAGTCAAAGAAGCTACCCCAAAGCTTAGCTGAGTCTCACTCCAAACCCGGCATTTCATTGACACAAACACATGTAAAGAATCAAAAGGACTTTTTGCCTCAAAAAAAGCGCCCGTCGACCGCGGCCGAGACACTGCGAGGGACTGTCGACTCAGAGGGTGGCCGGGGTTTGTGGCTCATCCAAATATCCCCTCAAACCAAACCTTGCTGCAGCTTGGCCAGCCAATTTTGGAGGGATGCCAAACTGCGACCCTCTGGGGCGCCGGCCACGATGATGGGGCTGCGGCAAAGGCTTCCAATGAAACGTGACTCAAAACAATTATGAGGGCTGGGGAGAATGGAGGGAGGGAGCCCAAATAAGCCCGAAGCTCTTATTAAGGGATTAATCAAGCCTCATTTGGGCTACCCCCCTCCCTCCCCCCGAGACCCGTGAGACACCCCCCGTGGTTTGCCCATCAAAGCATTTCCAGAGACGAAATGCAAACAGGACACAGGCGCCTCCAGGGCGATGGCGGGCGGTCTTTCCCGAAACGGTCCACCAGCGCCTGCGCATTCCGAGTGCGAGATTGACGAACTGATCCTTGGGATTCGTGGCCTTCAGGGCTTAATGAGGCCAAAATCGACTCTGATGTTGTGTCTTGGAATACTAAGGATACGTGAAGCACTTGCGCGAAATTTCATTCCTGGGCATGACACCAAATTGTTTCAGCTGAGATTCCGGAGTGCATTTTTATGACTGAGGCATAATCCCCGCGGCAAAAGTCTCGGCATGGAGACTTCCCACCAGTCTCCGATTGGAAAATGGGCAAGACCAAACCAAATTCAGGCACCGTTGTTTCGAGACTTGTTCTCTCCGACAAGGAAGGGTCATGTTGGACCCTCTGGCGTTTCGCTTTCAAGCGGGCCACGCCGCGAAAGGGTGGGCCAAAACGCGACTTGGAACGGCTCGAACCCCAGAGCGAGAGTCCAAACACCACCACCCCCCCCCGGATGTCCAAAACCCCTCCCCCCAACCAGCCAACCAGTGGTGCGGAAGGCAGGTAGCCCAGATAGCCCACCTCCGCCGCGCGGGCGATCCGTGCAGGCCACCAGGCGAATTCGTCGTGGACGATGTTCAGATCCTGTGAAGGCATGCTCCCACTGGATGTGGGTGGACCAAATCCACCATCTAAGAAACTGGGTGGAATGATTCGATTCCCCGGAAAATACCAAAACAAACAATGGTTTCAAGCATGGTTTCAAAGTGGTGCAGGATTTCGTACATCCACAGTAGGTCATAACTTACAACCAGGGCTAACGGGGTTGAACGAATTTACCCCAGCTACTACTAAGTTGGTTGAACATCAAAGTAGGGGACTCCGTGGTGAACATCAGAATTCGGTGGGCTGCAAAAAGTCCGCCAAGCACTTGTAAGGAGTGGAAGAATCTCAAAATGATCTCCACATGAGTCAACCCTGGTTCCTGCATGCACTGGGCAACCCAAGCCATCAAATCTTGAACGGAATTCCCTTTCCATCGGGCAAAAAGCGGGTGCGATGTAATTTTGCGCACGGTTCACCCTTTGGTGCACATTCTGGGGATTCATGTTCGCCGGCCATTTTTGAGATCTGAAACATGAGAACTCAAAGCCAGGTTTCCCCCCAACATGTTCGATGGCAACAACCCCTGCTCGACCCAGGTCTGTGCAGCGAAACCAGAGCCGACTCTTTCTCCTTTTCGATCTTCAGCGTCTGGCTCCAGTACCACTTGATGATGCTGGGCGCATCTATCATCACCTAGACGCATGAGTCTGGATTCTTGGCATATCATCCGAGCAAGTGTGCCAAGTCTCCAAGTATGAAGACAACACATGTGACGGTATTCAAGGTGCGTCACCAAGCCTCCCAATCCCCGAAAAACAGGGGGGAACAACACAGCCCAAAAAAAAAACACGACCACGCCAGTTCGCGCACCCTGCCTCTGCCGTTTTGGGGTCCCAGGGCAACGGTCTCAGCTTTCTCCTCGGGCAGAACTGAGGCTTGGACCTGCCTTCTGAAGGAGCCTCTTTTTTCCCGAGATAAAAACCTGGCAGCTGTTGGTGTTGTTCTTGGTTTGACATGCTGCTATGGTTGTTTGCATGCGTTTCAGTGGTTGTGGATTCTTTGCCGGGTTGTTGGGCGCTGAGTCCGACGTGAGGGTCTTACCTGGGTTTCGGACAGTGATAGCTACAAGCCAAAGGTGCGCTTGCTCAAAAGGCTTCAATGAACGCCGTGCACGGCATCCAATGGCCGTTTAGTTAATCTCCGGGAAGCAAACAATCTCGTGAAATACCAAAAAACAGCCAAAGAAGATTGTGTTTCTCTGATTTCAATCTGGGAAAACGTTCCGAACTTCTCTCCTACAAGGATCTGGCATGCGTCCATTGGATGAACGCAGGACATTGCAATCGTGTAGATGGTCGCTATAAAAGGCTGACTGCTCTCGTGCCCATTCCGAAGACGATGCGCATGTGCACCTTCCTCCATCGCATGCTTGTGGAAATACTTGTGCGTCACCAAAGCTCGTACGCAAATCAAGTACTTCGTGAGGCATGAGCTCGTAAGCAGAAAACTGAAACTTCCGGGGCAACCAGCGGGACCTTCACGCGGCCTTTTCTTTTGCGGTGTCCGAGCCCTGGGCTTCTGGACGACAGGTGTAGGGCCGCCGCCACCTAGCTCATGGGATAGCGGTTTTCTATCAAAGGAGAGACCCAAAAAAGAAGAAGATTCCTTTGGGTCTCTCCTCACAGACTCCTTTTGGTATCCCCCCCCCCAAAAAAAATGGACGCCTTCTGGTCTCTCCTCAAAGAGCTCAACCGGGAAATGAGGTCCCTTGCCGCTGGCGATCTAGCTCGCGCTCACAGTATGAATCGAGCTCCACTCGACCCCTTCCAGCCGACCAGGGCGCCTAGGTAGGTCATGGGCCACGCCTCAGACCCAACGGCCGTGGCCAGCATCCCCCAGTGCTCCAAGCGAGTCACAGCCGGGAACGAAGATGGGCGCAATCCATTTTAACCATGTATGGAAATACACAGGCGGAAGCAGCTGTTTCTGGCTGGGACTGTCCCTTACCAACTTCTGCCCGGGTTTTGAGTGTGGCTCATCCCCTCGTCTCCTCATAATATAATCAGCAAAGAGAACCACGTGCCGGAACCAGGCACTGAAAAACACTTACGAACAGAATCGCAAGCGGATTCAGTGCCCCGTGTGCTTCCAACCGAAGGCATTGCTCCGGGGCCGGTCAATCTGCATGAAGTCAGCTCGGAACTGGAGATGTATATGTGCACAGCTGACAAAACCGACCAGTGCAAAGAGTAAAGGCGCTGATGTTTTGTCTGGAGGGGGAACTCTGTCATGTCGTTGGTTCTTCTAATCTTCATGTTCGTTTCTTGACCAGGCAAATTGCCGTTGATAATCGTTAGGTCGCATTCTGGAAGGACATGTCCAGGGAGAGTTTCATAAAGCTCCGTCAAAAGGGGCGATCAACACGAGCTCGTCTCTTCCCGGCTGACTTGTGGCCAAGGCCCCTGAGGCTTGCGCTAGAAAGCAAAGCAGAGCCAACGGCCGCAAATGCCTCGAGAAACAACGACTCAAACGCCAACCATCAATCCGCTCCGCGCGTTTTTGTGGGCGCGGAACATGCACCCGCGACCTGCTGAGCTCCTGGCGCCGCCGAACGCGACTGCTCCATGTTCGGAGATTCGGCTGTCACGCGACTGACTGGAGATTGATCGCGTGGTAGATTGAGTCGGGCTGTGGCGTTTCATCTCGTGTGCCTTTCAAAGCCTTGCAATCTGCGCTGGCCAACTGTGGGCGGGAGGTGTTCAGTTCATGGTGCACTCCCTTGCATTTGTGCTACACCTTGAGCAGCGTTCAAGATCGTCTGCTAGTGGATGATACCCGTACTCCAAATAGCCGTTGTTTTTGGGCATGGTGTCAAATTAGTAAGCCCCGGACGAAAAGGCAGTATTTACCATGGAAAACCGGGTTCTTCAAAAAAAATCCTGCAAAGAGTGGGTACTTGGAGTACGGGGCATGACTCAGCCAAAAGGGGGTAAGAACTGAAACCTGCCCTGGACCTCTTTTTTCCACGTCGACGCGTCTGGGTGCATGCATCAACTGCAGCCATGCTGCATCTGAACAAGAGTGGCTGCAAAGCTTGCTCGAACCTTATTGGTTTGACCTCCCGCTCGACTCAAGCCCCTAGTCATCAATGACATCACCGCTTGTGATCACGTCATCGATCTTCAGGATCATCTTCACCACCTGCGCAAGTGTGATGTCCTTAGAGTTGCCCCCTAGGAAAGATGGTGGGTGTAAAGGGGACTCATACAAAAGCGCCTCAGAATTGCACGAGCAAAACGGGCATTATGTATACACATATAATGTAATATATATATATATATGTATATATATTTGAGAACCCTCCAAATCTTCACCCAGCCCCAGCGCCGCGAAAAATCCGTTCGCTCGACAAACACGTGGAGATTTCCGAACGCGCCTGCGTCGCCAGGCGGAGCTGACTGCACTTCGACGCGCAGGCCTGGCCGCGTGACGTGCGCTCGCCGGCCGGCAGGCTCTCCCACGGGGGGCGCCCACGGGGGCCATGGAGAAATTGCCTCATAGACGTTCTGCTCCCACATGTCCGTGGTCCCCTTCTGCATGCAGTCGACTCCTGTCCGAGAGGGAAAAAAAACGTGTTGCTAGCCACAAATCGCCGAAGATTCAAATTGAGTTATCCAAAAAAGACACAAATCACCGGTAGCCACGATTCGAATCGAGTGCCGAGGCCCGTGCCATGCCAGGCATTGCCAGAGGTCTCCTGCGCCGCCTCCGGGTGGCTTTCTTGTTTCGGCATTGATCCGTGCAAGTCACATCCTTGATATTTCCCAAACGATTCAGGGGTCCAACAAATGTCGCCTTATCTGAATTCGGAGGTTCAAAGGGAAGCCCCGAAAAGAAACCAAAACCGCCTGCTTTGATGGCCCTCCATTATTCGAGAAACCGTCGGGTTTCGTGTCTGCCGTCAAACGCTCGCTGCAGGGTCAAAATCAAAAAATTAGCTGAACCCCTCCTTTAGATGGAGTCGTGGAACCTTCAAATTCATCCACGATCTTCTCGTTAAATATCATTGTGAATCTTAATTCTTATATAACTTATATCGACTCAATGGACGAAGCGTACCAAGACATCCCTGCCTTCAGCTTCGCCATTTCTGCAATGCCTTGCAGGCCGCTGTTCTCGGCCAAGGCCTCGCGACTCGCGAGCGAGAAATGCGTTCTCCTCTGAAGCCCGCCAGACGAGACTCCGGGAGCGCGGCCATGGGTACCACGTCCAGGGCAGTCGCGAAGGCCTTCATGCTGTACCTCACTCGGGAGAACTGAAGGCTGGGGGTGTTCACATCGATCCCTCAAGGCATTTCATTGTGAAGAACACCTCTGCCGCAAAAAAAAAGAGCCGCGCGGTCCGCGCGCGCGTGCAGGACGTTGGGTCACTGGTCCATGGTCTGCTCCTTGGCAAAGCGAACAGACATGTCCCCCTGTGCCTTCTGAAGGCGCCATGGGCCTTTTTTGCCCAGGCTTAAGGCGCTGAGAGATTTTTCGCCGTTTCCCGGCCTTGTCCGCAGCAGCCAGGATCGCCAGCGAGGCCGCCATTTCGCTGGCCCCTGGAATTTCCAAAACCGACAACGGAAACCCAGAGGTGTCCGCCCCCGCCCCCCGCCTCCCCCTGGCACCACGCGCGGATCTCGGATCAGATTCCTGCAGTGAGGCCGAACGGCCGCAATATGTGTTTGAGGAAACAGCACCACGGCCTGAAGAAAAAATCCCACCAAAGAGGTCCCAGGCTTGGCAATACCCAGCCCCTAGTGATGTCTGGAGCTTAAGTCTAATGTGATCCCTGGACACACCATAGCATTTGGTCAATGGGTTGCCTTGCTGAAGGCACGCGCTACGCCGCTACGCGCCGACGTCTCAAGACATCTGCCTGACGCAGCAGTTGGAGTCGTGTAGGCAGCGCTTGGCCTCGTCCACCACCTTATGGAAAATCGAGCGAGCCCCAAAGACCCGTGCGACCATCAAAACTGCGAAGTCCTCTAATTCACTGCATCAAGCAATACATATAATAGAGGGCCTTCATATGGCTAAGCCGCGGAAGCATTGTTTGTTCACCACTTTTCTGGAGAGATGCATGCGCTCTGCGAGATTCAACACCCCCTCCCACTCAGGGAAGTCCCTGTTCCATTGCTCTGTTTCCAGGGACCCAAGCAAGGGAATGGCACAAGAAATGGGCAAGAGTGCCACAAAACACCTGGCAGGAAGAGGGGTATGACAGCCCCGCTAGCATATGACAGCCTCGCTCGCTGCCTAGCATTGACGAACCGACCAACCGTCCGACCGACCGGCCAACCGACCGGCCAACCAACCGTCCAACCGTCCAACCGTCCAACCGTCCAACCGTCCAACCCACCAAGCAAGCAAGCAAGCAAGCAAGCAAGCAAGCAAGCAAGCAAGCAACCAACCAACCAACCAACTGGCCAACCAACTGGCCGACAGAGCGCAACACACCCAATGCTAGAAGAAACATCTCGTCGCGATACACACACACACACGACTGCATGAACACGCCAAAGGGCCGGATCGATCTTCGAAGCTCCGACAAAAAAGTGTCGCATATGGCGAGTCAAGACGCCATCTGGTTGCCGCCCCTCACCAGAACCGTCACGGCTTTGGATTTCCCGCACTCCTTGGGCTCAAACAGTCGCACTCGACTCGACTTGGTCCGGTCACCGCTGGCTGCCTCGATGATGAGCATCTGCTCCTTCATGGTGCCGAAGGTCACTTCCCGGACGAGGCCCGCCTTCGAAGGGCGAAACTTTTGTTGACCCCGATGTGCAGACTTCAACCCAGGGGTTGATTTCACCAAACAAAAAGCCTTGGGTTGAAGTCTACCTGTCAAACACAGGAACCCGAATGCCTTGGTTCCTGGTGTCCCTTCACAACTAGGGTTCCTCTTTTTTTCTCGAGACCAACCCAGCAGAAGGGGCCACTTCAGTCGGAAGGACCACACTTTGCCTGCCTTGCCCAGCTTATCGGCAGTCAACTCCTCGAATCGAGGTACAATCCTGACAGGCGCCAACCCAGCATCAAAGGGACTCTCTCCCCACCCTCGCCTGCATTTGGATTTAGAGTTAGCACTGGGATTTGTGTCCGCCAACCATATTTGAGGAAGTTCCTGCGGCTTGGACACTGCTGAACCATTTGGTTGATGTGGCAACATAATCAAGGGAGTTCCCATCAGGTTCAAGTCGCGCGTGCAACCCCAGATACACAGGTACATCAAAATCAACACCTGGCATCTACTCAAAACCATGCAAAGGGTTGAAAGGGAAGATACGAACCAAATGTAAAGAAGTGCCACCCTTCAAATGCACAGTTTCTTCGGTTTCCCACCCGAAAACGGGTTGGTATCCCCGCTCAAGTGACAGCCCCACGTGCCAAAGCCTTCTTGTTACATGCAAACCGCCGTTGCTTGAAACAGCCTTAGGCAACTAGGGAACAAATGCTATGACCAGCCCTGAATGTTCAACATACTGCTGTGGGTCAAACATATGTACGCAAACTGGGCTGCCCTAAGAAATGGAACCAAGTCCCCTGTTTGTGCTTTTTGTGTTTGTCTGTTTTTGTGTCATTTGTTTAAACAAAGTGTGCTGGAAAAAAATGAACCGGAGAAAACAAAAAACGAGAGGAAAAAAACACGACCCATACCCCTACTGCTACAAGCGCATAAGCGAACCCATCGGCAGCTCCTGCCGCCGGTGGCAATGGCAATGAGCTCCAGCTCCACCCCACCGACCCACCTCAGAGCTTGAGGAGCGCGCCGGAAGCTCCGGAAATGTGCAACAACCAAAAAGGCAGCCGCCTTCATTTGGCCATGGTTTAAAACCGTTTTGGGATCCCATTTTGGGATAGGCGGTGCACCCATTTTAGAACCTATTTTAGTGGGGATTAAGGCCTAGAAGCTTGAAATCGTTGCCGAGCCGGCCGAGCCATTGGGATTGCTTCTAAAATGCTTCTGCCGCCTTCAGTTGAAGTTCCAAAAAAAAGAAACGGAAGCCAAACAAAACCAGACGGGGGAAAAAAAACATGGCCGTGTTCGTTCTCTGTTCGCGGGTTCGCAGGTTGCCAACACCGGCACCTCACGGCCGGCAGCTTGTGCTGGAAGAGCAAATGGTTTGCCTTCGAGCTAGGGCATCCAAGAAAAATGTTTGTCGGTTTGTGCCGTGGCAGAATGGCTGTTCCCGGAGCAAAGAAACACAAACTTCTCCCTGGCTTCCAAGATCTGGTGCAAATTGCGGGGCAATCACCATTTGTACCAATCTCAGGCTCTCCTCTCGGACATAGCGAATGGATGCACTACGTTTCAGGTGCCTCCTCTGTTCATGGTGCAAATCACGCTTTCTGGAAAACCAACGTAGGACGTCATGACTACTTGATCACTCCGATCACTGCAGAAATTCCCTGCTTCGAAAAAAAATGAACACCCCGCAAAACATTTTATTCACCTGCCTCGTCGTCGAAGCCCCACTGGCAGATGACCAAATTGGCACCTGATGCCTGATTGGTGCACCATGTGCCCTCCAGCAAAGCAAGCACACTCACAAGAGAAGGCAGCGTCCTCAATTAGTTTGATCTGATCTCTGAAGTACCTTAGCATCATTGGCATCCAAGCCCAAGCAGTGAAAGCTTCCGTGAGATAGCCAGACAAGGGTAGATTGAGTTTCCCAGTTTTCACGCTTCCATTGATTGAGTCTTGCATGTGCCTGCATGTGCCTCAAGCTCAGCAGGGGCACTTCTGCTCGTGCTCGTAGAGCTTCTTGTAGTCCTCGCCCGTCCTGATGTCCAGCTTGTGCTTCGTTTTCGGCCTCAACGCGACCATGAGCCTTTTGCCGAACCTTTTCCCCCTGGAGATCAACGGCGCCTACGACCTCGGAGTTCATGAGAAAGAAAAAAAAGCAGCCAGCAACCTCCAAGGGTGGTCCGTTTACAAACTGCTCTTGTGCAAGCCATGGGTACCATGGACCACCCTTCGAGGGTGCTGGGAGAACCCCCGTCCATTGAGCGCCAGACTTGGGCGGCTCGAAGGGGCACGTCAAAATAGCCATCTTCGCGTCCTGGCGTCGCCCGGCGTTTCGCGTTTCCGGAGCGGGGATCGAATCTCATCCCAAACCCTAATAAGGGCACTTGAGTCAAAATCAAAACCTGGTATAAAAATTGTCTACCCAGAGCTATGTAAAGAAATAAGAAGGCGGCCGCAGCTATTTATGGTTGGGATTGTTCCTTACTATCCGTCATGTACCCGGGTTTTGAGTGTGCTATTTGAAAGTCCAATCACTGAAACGTTGCCGTGACTGGAACCTGTCTGACGCCCAACAGGCACAAAACCGTTCGACGCAAGTGACAAGCTGGTGCACATCTGGCTCCTTGACCGTCTTGGGCATCTGAGGATGGCTGAAGTCCTTGTCAACAACAATGCCCTGGATGAGGCAGGTGTCCTGGTCAAAGAACGGAACACAACAAACTAAGTAACTAACGGCTCAGGGAGCAAATGTCTGGTTGCTTTCAAGGGGTCCATTTGAGGATCCGGATCAATTACTCCAGAGACCGGCGAAATGGATGCGCGGTCCTCCAACTTGCCGCCCACCTTGCCCTCCACCTGCAGACTGCTCCGCTATGAAACACAATATGACCCACTGACCCGGTGTTCTTCTTGGTCACGTGCTTAGACCTGTTACGCTCAGTGTGCTTTTTGGGGCTCCGTGGAAACATCGGCTTTGAGCCTCTGCAAAGTGAAACGTTGGGCTGCAAGTGGTTCTCTTGCCCAAGCTGTGCTGTCATGAGCCGCTCGGCCACTCTGCGCTCCAATGCGGTGGTGTGTCTTTTTCTGAGTAAAGAACTGCCCAAGGATAAACGTTGTACTTCTGCTGATCAAGCGCTCCCAGCTTAAACATGTGCTCGAAACTTGGCGGTCACTACTAGGCATATTTGGGTCATGGTGTCTCCAGCTGTGCGCACCGTCTGGCGCAACTATATGCGCCCGGGCACCTGAGTTTTGTGGAAAGTTTGGGTCTTGGCCTTGGGCTCGGGACTAAGCTTTTAGGATGCAGGCTTGTGCCTTAGCCATAGGACTGTTGCTTCAAAACCCCACAACACAGCGGAGATACCGAACATGAATCACTGGCACAGGCTTCCCGCGGGTTTGGATTGGACATGTCCTTAGGTCCTTAGGGTTTGGGCTTTGAATGCTCAGGTGTTGGCACGGCTGCCCGCAGTGCCTTGTTGCTTCTCCATTCTCCAATATCACCGAAAGCTGCAGAGCTCCATGAAGACTCTTGTGCAAACATCCGGTGAGAACCTCAAGTAAACCAAAATTATCCAACTCGGGGCTATCAGGCTATGAACATAGGCGTCCTTTTAGGGCAAATAGATGGCCCTGGTAGATGATTAAACCACCAGGGAAACCAGGGCCATCTATTTGTCCACCAAATCAACCAAAAAGGACACCGATGGCTATGTAGGGGTACCATACAAAACCCAGCTAAAGGCCCACGGCTCACGCTGGGAACGTGTCTCAGTGAGTGCCTTGATCAGATCGAAGTTCACATCTTTGCGAGCAAGATCGCACACCTGCGATCGGGGCTCGCAGAAACCCAAAAGGCCTGCAAGTGGACGAGTCCTTTTGCTGTTGCTTTCAAAAAGAAAGTGGGGGGGTCTTTCTTTGAGGATACCCAATTGTGGTGGTTTTCAAGGAGAACCAAAAGGACAACCACCATTGCGGGGGGGCCCCCAAGAAAAGACATACCCAAGTACCCTCAAAACAAAACACCTGCAGCACTGAAGGAGGCAAGGAAGGCTCCAACTCGGACCTGTGGTTTTTGCCTCAGCTCAATGCATCACAGGTGCCGTGTCTTGTGCCCGGAACCCAGGTGAAACTTGAAGACCCTGAGGTTATAGGTCGCACATAACGCTCAATGCCAACTCAGGGTGCCTTGCCAAGGTCTCTGCTTGACAAGGCCCGCTCGCCGGAGCTAGGCTCGCGTACCGGTCGCCCCGGACTTGGTGCCATTGCTCGAGTTGTCGTCAGTGGAATTGCTGGTCGAATGGCTTGCGTTGGTAGTGGCGTTTGAGCTGGAAGTCTCATTGGAATTGCTGGAATTGCCAGTGGCGTTCGTTTTGCCAGCAGCAACGCCGGTTGCGTTGCCGGTGGCATTGCCGCTGGCATTGCCGGTGGAATTGCCGGTGGCATTGCCGGTGGCATTGCCGGTGGCATTGCCTGTGGAGTTGCTGCTGCTTGTGTTGCCGGTGGCATTGCCGGTGGCATTGCCGGTGGCATTGCCGGTGGCATTGCCGGTGGCATTGCCGGTGGCATTGCCGGTGGCATTGCCGGTGGCATTGATGGTGGCATTGCCGGTGGCATTGCCGGTGGCATTGCCGGTGGCATTGCCAGTGGAGTTGGAGGTGGAACTGCTGATGGAATTGCTGGTGGAATTGCTGGTGTTCCCAGTGGAGTTGCTGCTGGAATTGCCGGTTGCGTTGCCAGTGGAGTTGCCAGTGGCATTTCCAGTGGCATTACCTGTGGAATTGCCTGTGGAGGTGCCGGTGGAATTGCCGGTTGCGTTGCCAGTGGCATTGCCGGTCGAATTGCCGGTTGCCTTGCCAGTGGCATTGCCAGTGGAATTGCCGGTGGAATTGCCAGTGGCATTGCCAATGGCATTGCCGGTGGAATTGCTGCTGGAATTGCCGGTTGCGTTGCTAGTGGAGTTGCCAATGGCACCAGTGGCATTACCTGTGGAATTGCTGGTGGAGGTGCCGGTCGAATTGCCGGTTGCGTTGCCAGTGGCATTGCCGGTGGAATTGCCGGTTGCCTTGCCAGTGGCATTGCCAGTGGAATTGCCGGTAGAGTTGCCAGTGGCATTTCCAGTGGCATTACCTGTAGAATTGCTGGTGGAGGTGCTGGTGGAATTGCCGGTTGCGTTGCCAGTGGCATTGCCGGTGGAATTGCCGGTTGCCTTGCCATTGGCATTGCCAGTGGAATTGCCGGTAGAGTTGCCAGTGGCATTGCCGGTGGAATTGCTGGTGGAGTTGCCGGTGGAGTTGCTGGAAGAATTGCCGATTGCGTTGCCAGTGGCATTGCCAGTGGAGATGCCGGTGGAATTGCTGGTGCTGGTGTTTCTGAAGTCCGTGGAATTGCTGGAGGAATTGCTGTAGTTGTTCACTGTGCAGTTGTCGGCGCAGTTGCTTCCTCAGTCACTGTTTGCCATGGGCATCACAACCAGCGAGGCCACAATGCAAGAACTAGTCGACCACAAACCCTTTTCACCTCAAATGGTCAAGTCCCCTTTCCACCCTTTGCCCAACACCGAGGCACTGTTGGAAGCATTCTTCGCCATGAATTGGTCGTAGACCTTGGCAAGCGTCCAACCCGCGCTTATCGGGCTGCAAGCCATGGCCCTACGGCGGTCAAGCCCAGCCTTGCCATGCTCCCGCAGCAGCTGTCCCAGCATCTCCTCAGACTTTCCAAGCCCTGTGAGGAACCAGAAAAGTCTTGCTGGGAATGTTCGCACAAATGGTTTCCTCAATAAGACCATTTTTTTCAAGCTTGTCGGCTTTTAGAGGGAAACCTGGGTAAACCAGCCGCTGACCCCGAGTACATCTGACACCTGTGTCTTCACTCCACCCACCCTTCAGCCGTCCTCCGAGTTGGAGGCATCCTGCGACAAAGGCAGGTGACAAAAGCTCTTCTAGCTCCACCCACAAAAAAAATGCAATGGCTGGGGAATCCGCTGTACATCCCAACTCAAAAATTGCTGCGTGTGAAACGAGAACAAGCTTGAAGACAGAGAGAGAGAGAGAGAGCAAAGAAGCAACTATTTCCGAATCGCAGCTTCCGTGGATTCCGGAGCAGCCCCTCATCAGCCCGCCGCGCGTAGCCAACTGAACAGCGAGACAACCAAACAACCGAAGGAACTGCAACACAGTGCAAATATAGAGTGAGCGGCGTGAGTGGCGTGAGCAGCGTGAGTGGCGTTGGTGCGCATGAGTGGAGAGTGGAGTGAGTGGCGTGAGAGGAGTGAGTGGGGTGAGCGGAGCGAGTGGCGAGTAGCGTGAGTGGAGTGCGTGGAGGGAGTGGAGTGAGCGAGCGAGTGAGTGATCTGGCAAGCAGACACGCAGCGCTGCGCGGTTGCACTTGAGCGGGTGTTCTTATCATTTGGCAGACAAATACGCAGAGCGGCGCGGGCGCACTTGAGCGTACGCTTTAGAATATAGCAAGCAGACAGGCAATGCTGCGCGGGTGCACTTGAGCGGGTTTGCAAGTGTCTGAATCAGTCAATGTGGGGAATAACAACAGAAGGCCGGGAAGCAAGAAAACCAAAAAAACAAGAAAGCCAAAAGGTCAGAACACCAGACACTACAAAACCAGAAAATCAAGAAAGGCGAGCAAACTAGAAATCAAAGAGAAACAAAAAAGCCGGAAACTAGAAAAAATAAGACTGGAAGACAAGGAGACAAAAAACAACAACCAGAAAACAAGAAAAACCAGAAAACAAGAAAAGCAAGAAATGCCAGAAAAGCCAGACATGCAAGGAAAACTAGAAAAGCAAGAAAAGCAGGAGACCAAGAAAACCAGCCAACCAAACAGCCAGCGTTCCAAACCGACGACTCCGTGCCCGCCTGAGGCGGCGCGCTCTGTAAGGCCTGCCGACCAAAAAGCGGGAGTCGGTTTTGGAAACGCCGGACTGCGTAAACCGTGACACCAAATCGTGTAGGTTCAAAATGCCAGGAACTGTACGTCATGTTCATGATTTCAGACTGGCAACACTAGGGATAAGCCGAAGGCCATGTCGAAACAAGTCGGATCCTTTCGATGATTGAAACTTGAAGTTCGGGTTCCGACACTTTGAAAAATGTCTCAAAACGGGCGCGGGGAATCTCCAAGAGTGCCTGCTGACAATAGAGTTGGGAATACAAGCATGTGGGTATGGCGCAAAATTAAAGAGCTGGGGTTGCGCAGGTTTTAGTCTTTGGTTCCATTTACCGGGGTTCCATTTTGGTACCACGTTTTTGACCCACAGCCATGTCTCGTTGTTGTCGTTCCATGGGCCTCGGAACTTCCTCCGCACCGAAGCCCCGCATCTCACGTCACTCGCCTTCCTCTGCTGCAGGAGCAGCAGCCGGCAGTTGTCAGCGCGGCACTCCCGCGCGGACGCCAGGCTGCCTGGAGGGGCCAGCGCTCGCTCGGCTCGGAGCGAGGGCCACAGTCCAAAGCCCTGCTCTGGCTGAGTGCCCAACCTTGGTTGATAATTGGCTGTGGGTCAAAACCCTGTATAGTTAACGTCAACATAGGTGGCAAGTGGATGTTCATCCAGCCCAAAATGGAGCCATAGGCTATGCCCCATGGCCAATTCTTGGTTGATCGTGAGATCAGGCGTCTCACGGGGCTTTCTACCATCTTCAAGCCCCAACTCTCCAAAGCCCAGCACTTGCGCAATGAGAGCGAGATCCGGCGCCTGTGTAGCACAGTGAAATCAGCAGCCATAAAGGTGCATGCTGGTTGCGCATCGCACCGTTGTGTTTCAAACAGAACCGAGGGGAGGCATGCTGTTGAAATAGCGTTTGAAGCAAGCTGGATGCTGGATCATGCACTACCGCCAAGCAATGAGTCGTGAGCAACTGTATTTCCTTCTCATCCTTCAGTTTCGCTAAGCGGACCTATCAGGGCAAACATGCTTGAGGCAAGGTCAGAGAGGATGTCAGCACTCAAGACTTCAGCCCCTTGTGTTCTCAAAGCCGGATTCCCATTCAGTGGGTGACCCGAAATGAGTTCTAACAAATGGGTGCTAGGATGTTACACACAGGATTGCAACTGGAACTAGTGCATTACAACCCGTTTCGGGTGCCCTGCATTGCAATCAACAGGGTTCTTGAGCTCCTGTATCGACCCTAAGCCGCTCCCTTTTGCAAAGCTGATGGGCTGCAATCGGAGGATGCTTTTTCGGATGCACTGGATTGAAAACCTGCCACAAAGCATCCAGTGAGACAGCCACTGGGCCCCGTGGTGGACGCTAACTGTGCCTCTTGACCTAGTCGCTCGTTCAGCTGCACCGCGCATGTTTCAACACGGGGCACACGGCAAGCAACCGCTTGGCGGCAAGAGTCATAGCTCGTCCAAATCGATTTCATCCTCCTCGTCTTTGAGTGCACCGTATCCGCGACCACCTGGCAAGCAAAAGAAGTCACGCGAAGAAATGCAAATCCTCGTGCAATTAGCCCTCCTTGAGTCACAATCAGCCTGGCAATGTACAAAAGGTCTTCTGGCGAAGGCTTCAAAGAACCAGTGACAAGCATGGCCAGCTACACCATCCCCTGCAGGGACGTCCCAGGCTTGGTTCGCAGGGACGTCCCAAGCTTGGTTGTATCCTGGCGCAAAACGGACAGCTCAATGGTTCTCGAGAGCCCACTGCCGCTGTCCTGCACCAGACCACCTGCGGCCCAGCCGAAAAATCCCGATCAGAAGGATGTGGCCCTGAACCCCTGGGGTCCCAAAAGGGGCCTAGAAGGGGCCCAAAAGGGGCCCAGAAGGGGCCCTTGGGCCATGTTGATCACAAAGCCCAAACCCGACGTGCGAT